CGCGGCTGGCCTGGGAATGCCTCGGTATCCCCCCGGAGGAGCTGGAGGAAGTGTCTAGGGAGAGGGAAGACTGGGCATCTCTGCTTAGAATGCTGCCCCTGCAACCTGGTTCCGGATAAGCGGAGGAAGATGAATGGATAGATAGATTAACACATAGTATAATAGAGCTCACCTTGTACTTGCTGCCTCATCAGTCAAACACACCTTCTCCACAGTGACCTGTGGAAAACAGAGGGGTCAAAGTGTTTATCTGTCATATGCAACTTCGGGTTGGTGGGGAGTTCCTGCTTCAAGTGGAGGAGTTCAAGTATCTTGGGGTCTTGTTCACGAGTGAGGGAAGGATGGAACAAGAGATTGACAGGGGGATCGGTGCAGCTTCTGCAGCAATGTGGTCGATGTACTTGTCCATCGTGGTGAAGAAGGAGCTGAGCTACAAGGTGAAGCTCTCGATTTACTGGTCGAGCTACATTCCGATTCTCACCTATGATCATGAGCTTTGGGTCATGACCGAAAGGGCAAGATCCCAGATACAGGCAGCCGAAATGAGCTTTCTTCGCAGGGTGGCGGGGCGCTCCCTTAAAGATAGGGTGAGGAGCTTGGTCACCCGGGATTAGAACCACTGCTCCTCCACATCGAGAGAAACAAGCTGAGGTGGCTCGGGCATCTGTTTAGGATGCCTCCTGGGCACCTTCCTTGTGAGGTGTTCCGGGCATGTCCCACTGGGAGGAGGCCCCATGGAAGACCCAGGACACGCTAGAGGGACTATGTCTCTCGGCTGGCCTGGGAATGCCTCGGTATCCCCCCGGAGGAGCTGGAGGAAGTGTCTAGGGAGAGGGAAGACTGGGCATCTCTGCTTAGAATGCTGCCCCTGCAACCTGGTTCCGGATAAGCGGAGGAAGATGAATGGATAGATAGATTAACACATAGTATAATAGAGCTCACCTTGTACTTGCTGCCTCATCAGTCAAACACACCTTCTCCACAGTGACCTGTGGAAAACAGAGGGGTCAAAGTGTTTATCTGTCATATGCACAGTTAGGAAACGTGTTTTGTTGAGGCTGAGATTATTGTCCTTGCACCATGACACCAGACTGGCCACCTCCCTCCTGTAGGCTGCTTTGTTCCAGCCAGTGATGCGACCTATCACTGCACTGTCGTCCGCGAACTTTAGGATAATGTTGTCTTTGTGGGAGGCGACACAGTTGTGGGTGAACAGGGTGTAGAGGATGGCACTGAGGACACATCACTGTGGGGTGTCAGTGTTTGTAATAATGCTGGCTGAAATCCTATTGCCAATCCTGACAGTCTGGGGCCTGCCAGTCAGAAAGTCCAGGAGCCAGTCACAGAGGGTGGGGTGCAGACCCAGTGTGGATAGCTTGTGGGTGAGTTTGTGGGGGACAACTGTGTTGAAGGCAGAGCTGTAGTCAATGAAGAGTATCCTGATGTAGGAGTCTCCATTTTCCAGGTGAGAAAGGGAATAATGAAGGGCAGCTGCGATGGCGTCTGAGGTGGCCCTGTTGGGCCGGTAGGAATACTGCAGGGGGTCCAGGGTGTCTGGTATACTGCTCTGAATGCGGGCCAGAACCACTCTCTGAAAACACTTCATAATAATTGGGGTGAGTGCCACTGGTAGTCGTTCAGGCAGGTGACCGGGCTCTTCTTGGGAAGGGGGACAATGGTTGTGGTCTTAAAGCAGGTGGGAATGATGCTCTGGCTGAGGGAGAGATTGAAGATGGTGGTGAGAACATCAGCCAGCTTGCTAGCATATGTCCTGAGGGCCCCTCCCAGGGATGTTGTGCCTCACACACACACACAACGAGATGAGGCCCAGCAGCCTGTCCTGAATTCAAACAGGCGGGGACAAAGTGGCACTAGCAAAGAGAGAAAGACACTAGCCTGATGTAGCATCTTTGAATGTCAAAGAAAATAAAGGAAAGACAAGCTAATTCAAACCTAGCGAAAGATATATGGAAAACATGCTGAGTACTGCCTCCAGCTGTGCAGGACCATGAGGCACATTTAATACAACACAACATAGCCAGTGGATTTCAACAAGCAGGCTTTATTAATGCTTCAAGGGCTGCCCTCCACCATTTTATCTAATAAATGCATGTAAAACATTCACCAAAAGGAAAATGAGAATAACAGTGATGCAAATACCTGAATATAAAATACAAGTTTTATTATTATTTTGCTTCCATAACTGTCAGCTTGCACAATAACAACTGATCCTTTGTGGTGGGTCTGTTAGTTTTTTGTTAGGCTCCTTGTACTCTACCTGTGTGGTCTGGTTGAGTGCTGCACTCTTCTGCCACGGAGCCACACTCCCAGGCAGCGTGAAGAGGATGCCCCCATCTCTGATGATCAGCTCAGACACAAAGGTAACTTTAATGAGAACAGTCGCGCCCGGCGGCAGATTGCCCACACTGATGGTGAACACGTCCTGCAGCGAGCACACAGGGTAGAAGCACACTTTTACAAATCTGTTTAATCATAAAACAAGTTTTGAACTTTAATAAAATGCGGTGAAAAGGGGCTACAAAATATTCTGGTATGATTGGTCAGTCAGACTTAGAGACTGAATCAGAATGATGATGTGCGGACTTACGGGGGCATCCTGATCCATGAGGTAGGCTCCATGGCCTTTCTCAATAGCCTGCTTGTACTCCTTGCGAGCCCGCTCCTTCTCTTTCACCTGAGAACCAGACAGAAAAACAAGTTTTGCTAATGATCCATAATGTTAGTTTCATCCTTTGTGCTGTACTGCTGGGTTAGGTTTACTGCATGGTTACTGAAAAATAAAGGAACAAGATTAAAAACAGAAGAAATCAAAAACAAGAAAAGTTCAGCTCTGTTACCTGTCCCACCACATGTTTCCCATTAATGAAAGCTTCAAATCCACACACTGCTGCAGAATCATCCAATGGGAAGACATACTTTGCCTCAATGGGCACAGAGCTCATGTTGGTGTATTTTTGGAAAATGATGACCTAAGAGAGGACAGGGTGAGAGGAGTGAACAGATGACACGACATACTGTCAGTGCTTCATTAGAGATGAGAGCCAGTGAGACAATTTACATCCAGTAGTCTGATGCTTTTCAGGAGGATTCAAATGAACTACCAGACGATGTGCTGCCAACAAACTAAGACAAAGTGAATGGTAAATGAACTGTATTTATATAGCGCTCTTCTCACAGTGTGTTGCACTGGCCAAAGCGCTTTACAGGAGATCATACACCATTCACACACCAATGACGACAGGCTGCCACGCAACAGTGCTAGCTAGTCAAGCCACCGGGAGCAATTCGGGGTTCAGTGTCTTGCTCAGGGACACTTAGGCATGCGGGGAGACCGGGAGTCGAACCACCAACTTGCTGGTTAGGAGACTACTGCCCTACCTCGTGAGCCACAGCCACCCCACGATGAGTCATTTTTGTTCACCTGAGAGAGCAGATCCATCAGTTTGCACTTCACATGGACGGCCTGCAGAGGAAGCTGCTGACCAGACCCATCCAACAGTCCAGCTGTTATGTCCTCCAGCGGGTTTTTAATCATTTCAATCCCGTCATCCTCCGAACAGAGCTCTACACACACATACACAAAATGCTTGTTGGCTTGCATTGCAATCACAACACTATGGGATATTTCTTGAATGATGCATTCCTTTTAATTTTAATTTACTGAATGTATATCATCTATGTGTCTGTGTTATTGTGTCATTTTATTTTTTTGCACGGATCTTATTTATTCTATTTTAGTTATTTATTGTGATTTTATTTTGCCATGTAAATTACTTTAAAAACAACATCCAGTTGACCAAAGTGCTATATAAATAAATTTGATATGAATAAGTACACTTAATATGTAAAACCAAGTATTTCATAACATTTATGTGAAAAAAAAAACCTAAGTCTATAGAGTGATTTTGTCTGATAAAAGAATGTTTTGGGGGGAAAAATTTTTTTTTTTTTTTGAAATGTGACAAGACTTACGACAATAATTTAACTGACTTTTAATCTATTGTTACTATTTACTATGTGGTGTATTCAGTACAGTACATAAATTGTATTCTCCACTCTTAATAGAGAACATGAAGCTGACATCATGCTGTGTTGAATTTTGGGGAAATGTGCCATGTTTGGAGCATCACGTTCATCAACCATAGATATATATACTACATATAATTTTAACAACTAAACACTATCCCATACAGCTAGATACAGTAGCAGATTCTTCAGCTACGTCCAAACATCCACTTCAGTGTTCAGTTTGAGCAAAGACAGGACAGAAATTGCTTCATCTGCAGTGTTTGTGTTATCTGCTGACAGATGCTAGCTAGTGTTAGCTCCTGAACCAAGAGCTCAGATCAGGGTGCAGAGTCATTTTTCAGTCAGTTGACGGGATCTCTAGGTCCGCTACGAGTTGGCTACAGTCAGCTAAGGTTATCCATCCTGGATTACCACAGTCAGTAAAGTGAAATCTAAACAATTTAAGCAACTTTTTAGCCAAACAAAACAATAATGTATGCAGGTAAATACAGCATGTGCCTCCAAAAATGATACCCCCTCCCAATATTCAACACAGTGTGAAGGACCTTCCCATTCTCTGTATAGTAGATATTACCATGAATCTTATTCCACATCCTTCCATTATTTCCAACAATTAAAGACAGTTGCTACACTTCAGTTACTTTTTCATGGAAATGTGATGAATGAGAATGGTACACAGCAATTTGATGGTTAGCAAGAAAAGCACCATCTCTGGTAATGATACTTGTGTTTGGACATAAAAAAACAAAGCTTTTAAAATCAGTGGGAAAAAGTAGAGACATGTTTTGTTCAAACTTAAAATTTTACTGCAAATATCAGGGTTTCAGTTTTAAGTGACACATGCAGTAACAGATTATGCTGCAGCAGGTTTGGCCAATAATGATACAGATACTTACAGTAAATGTGAAATATTTGGCAAGGGTCTGGTGCTCACCTTGGTCAGACGAGGGGGGACACAGCTCAGCGGAGGTGTTGACGGCAGGACCGAAGTCCGTCAGTGCATCTCCCTCGACGCTGAACCAAATCACATACTTTAGCTTCACCTGATCAGGACTGTACACCACGTACTCATCATCCTTGACACAAGCATAATTACATGTCAGAGTACACATGTTAGGGCTGAGTGATTCCAAGTCAAATATAATCATAAAACATTTTTACAGAATACCTCTATACAGTGTGACAGTATTTTAGGGATATAATTTCTTACCTTTAGAGGATACTTACACAGAATTTTCAGTGATCACTAATTTGAATATGAAAACTAAAAGGTACAATATTCAGTGTTCATTTCAGTCAGTTTGTAAAATGTATTTTAATTAATGGCAATACTTAACAAGAAATTATTTTAGCTGTACACACATAAAGCTTTTAGTTTCTTTAGAGCAAAGTTAAAATGTTTAACTTTGTGTTCACCTGAAAACTGGTCCAGAGCAGAACGTCAGAACCAGTTGGTTTGACTGGTTCACGTTATCACAATAGGCAGGTGATTGCCTCACATTTGGTACTCAATCTGGAAGTTCTGCCCAATTACCTATTTATAAGGATAATCACCTTTATTTGGCCAAGTATGTTACACACACGGAATCTGTACAGAACCGAGGCAGTCATCTTCCTGTTGGGAGACGACTGCTCTACCCACCGCACTGTCGCCTCCCCCCTTTCATTCATACACACATTCCTACCTCAAATTCTGAGTAAATGTGACGAGTGTAGCGGACCCCGTGCACGCTGTGGTATCCCTCAGGAGCCTGTGTCAGTGTGAGGTCCGTCTTACGGACGTCCTTGCATTGTCCCAGCGCCACATCACACACCAACAGCAGCCGAGAGCCGTCTGTCGCACTGGGCTTGGAGTATTTCAAACTGGTGCTGTGGATGCAGAAAGTCTTAGTGAAGATGACTCCGTTTGGCCTTAATTGGTTTTTTTATGTTTCAAGGCAATAAAAACAGCAACTTGTGAGTCACATTAAGGACAAGCTGCTGTTTGTGAAGAAAGCTTTTATGGAATAAACCTCATAAATTTCAGATTTCTACTAACCTAATGACATCACTGAAGTAGATTCCACTGCCCAGATTACCAGCATCTGTTCTCTCTATCCCATGATGTTCCACTCCAACACGGGGTAACAGCAGACCGCTAAAAAGAGTGAAAATGCTGAGTTAAAAAAAAAAAAAAAAAAAA